CTTATCTAAAAAATCGGGAGAAAAATATTCAAAACCTTTGCAGAAAATCTATGTTTTCCCAAAGAGAATTTGGAAACATCCAAAAATCCATAAGGCGTTTTCCCTTAGCACGGCAGTGCGTAGGGCGTTGGGAGGGCAAAAAGGTATAGCAGGCAAGTGACCGTTTATTCGAAAGTGGCTTACTTTTTAAAAGATATTATCAAAATATTTCGCCCTCGCAAGAATACTCATGGTCATTTTTGGAGAGTAAACATTGCTTGAAGCTCAAAAAAGAAACGTCTAATCAGTTTTAATCTTCTTCGTGTTTCAGCTCCAATGTTCATTTCAAGACGTTTATTTTTTGTTTATCAGTAAGGGAAATTTTTCGGGTAGAAAGTAGGAAAATCTACATTCTACACATTATCAAATGCCAACCCTTGCCCTGTAAGGGGCTGAATTCATAGGATTTCCTTAAACAGCTCATATGTCTCACATTAAAATGAAGGGAGGTTATAGGACAGCCTTGAATATAGCATCATAAAGTAGAAAATTCTTACAAACCCCAAGTCAAAGTCGGTGTTATGACTCTGGAAATGGATACTTATAAAGAATTACAATGATTTATCGCCAACAAAAAGTACAAAATACTAGTGAAAAACTTGTATGATTGTGACTGTCTTTGAGGTAGGTGCGACTATACCTCAAATTTAACAGAGCTCGTAAAATATGTTCTAGTGCGAGCCGTATTTCTTGCAGCAAAAAATCATTGTGACCCCTCGAGAGGATCTATTTCTAGAGTCGTAATACTGATTTTTATTCGGAGTTCGCAAAAATTGTCTTTCCTCACAAGCTTTTTTTCGCCGAGATCAAAACGAAACCTCATTGGTAGCATAGAGCTGAGCCTAGCGAGTTGACGCCTTGCGCCATGGCGCCTTCAATTTTGCAGATACAACACTGACATCCATCAAGTACGAATAGTTGTATCTCTGCGCCGCCATCAACGCGCGTCCTTTCCCTCCTGGCTCTATCTCCGTACTGTGTTTACTCCGTTTGTTTCATTTGCGGTGGCGCTTCAATGACAATTTAAGCAACACAGCCAACGATAGGGAAGAGGCGATCTAGTCTCGTTTTTTAAAACTTTTTTCCCGAATCTGAGCGACATCACTAGCAGCTTGGAGCGGAGCTCAACGAATTCACGCTTCGCTCCATCGCGATTTCAATCTTGCTTATCGACGGTGAAACTACCAAACCACGTATCTCGTTTGCGGTGTTTAAAAATCTACGCTCACATTTTATTTTTTTGAAGTAGACCAAATCAATATTATTCCTCGAAATTTTCACGGACTTTTCTCCGCACAAAGAGAAAAAATCACAGAAATTTTCAAGACTGGATGTTAAGTAGTTTTTCATTTAAAAAATAAAGTATGACAGGAAGTCTGCGACGTCGCAAACCGAGATACGTGGTTTGGTAGTTTCACCGTCGTTATGCAACATGGGCATGTCGTCACCTTCCAGGCAAAGTATCACAAGCGCCATGCGACGTTTAAAAATTTCCGCCGCCATTTTATTTTTTTACAGAGCAATTGTTCAACGAAGCTGTCCGAAAATTTCACTGAATTTTCTTTGTGCTGCCGATAAAATTAAGTAAAATTTCCAAACAGATTCAACCAACAATTTCTCAGTAAAAAAATAAAATGGCGGCGGAAATTTTTAAACGTCGCATGGCGCTTGTGATACTTTGCCTGGAAGGTGACGATATATCAAGCACGAATAATTGTTTCTCAGCGGTGTGACCAACGCGTTTTGAGGTTTTGCTCATTCTTGAAATCTGAGAAAAGTTAAGGTTAAGGTTAAGTTTACTCAAAGTATGCTTTAATGTGTCCGAATCAAGAATCATTTTGAAAAATAAATGAATAAATGAAAAGCACAAAATGTTTAAATGTCTCTGAAGCGCCCTAACGGGTGCACGTCTAAAAATTGGTATTTTGGGGAGAGCTGTGCCGTGTCAGGGAATTTTTTGTGACGTCTCCCTTGAAAATTCCACTACTATATCTACTTCTAGACTTCTGGACTATATCTATTCTAGGGGAGTTACATTTGGTGGATAAGAAGGGGGCGAAAAAGCGCGAGTACGTTACCGAAAGGGCCAAAATCTAAAAAAAAGGGCTTAATTCCTCTGTAAAATTTACAGTTTTTAAGGAGGACTTTTGCGACATTAAAATGTATGTTTTTGAGCCTCCCCATTCTCCCCTGTAACGCTCTTGTGACGTGGGTCCCTATCCCTTTCCTTTCACAAGGAAAAATAAAATGGACGTATTTATGCTAAATGGAACTATGTGCAAATGGGTAGATGGGTCGTGCTCATTAGTGGTCGAGCCATAAGAATGAATGGGGAATATAAAGCGCCAGTGGCGTTAGCGGCAACGACGAGACAAACGGTAATCGGGAAGGCGGTATTTAACTCATGAGCCCTGTCCACAAGGCTCTACATACATGCCCACGGATTAGCGCTCAGTTCCTTTTGGTTTAATTTAAAATCCCGCTTTTCCATTTTCTCGAAAGGGACTATATCCACTTTTACATTGTTTCTTATCCGGCTTCCACGAGCACACCCCATATTTCTACTTGCACATAGTTCCATTTAGCATAAATGCGTCCAACTAAGGGACGGCCCCCAACAGAGATTCGTCCGGGAAACGACAATTTGTCTCTGGTAGCACAACAACACGAGCCTCGCAAAATAATCGAACTGGCGCGCACTACATCCGCGAGCAAAGTTCAATCGCAACGAAACATTAAACCTTGAAAAAATCCCAACACAATAAACGGAGTTTGCTATCTGGTGTGCAACCCGTAATTTAAGCCCAATTATAACGAGGATGCAGACGAAACGCACGTCACTGCGGTAGGATCCTAATCCGGGAGCTGTTGGCTCTTGTTGTCTCGGGCCGGGACACAGACGCCAAGACGACGGCTGAGCATTCACCTTGATCCTTCCCGGAGCCGAGGATGATACACATCTAGAAGACAAACATCACCTCAGGTCGGATGGAGTACCTTCTCCACCCGCGAAGAGAGAGAGAGAGGGGGGGGGAGCTACCGATAGTTTGCCGCTCACGCATTTTTGAGCAACTCATCAGATTGAAAAATTGGACCGTAGAGGGTTGCCAAACTGCGCGTAATTTAGGCGCCCAATAGTAGAAATAGATGGATCGATTCTGACGTCACTGCAGCGGATCGATAAAAAGAGGGGTATCGAGAATGGTCATTATTGGGCACACCCTTAATTTCCTCAAGTATAAGATTTTTTGCTCATTGAAAGGTCCATATTTTACGGAATGGGCCACTAGGGAAGGTCTGAAGTAGGAGAAAACGTCCCATGTTTCCTTTCCACAATCTTAGAGATGAAAAAAAAATTCACGCAACGGGAAGTTTTGAAATGAACTCCTGACAGAAAAGGTACTGAAAAGTCTTTTGAACGCATCAAATGGGAATTCGATGTGCAAATGACCTATTTTTGCCATGTAACCAATTTTAATAGAAAACACTGATATTTTGTACAGGAGTTGATTCTCAGAGTTTCCTTTGTGTAATTCGTTCTCCTTCCAAAATTTTGAAGAGAAAACTGTAGAAGCGTTGTGCTTTATCTCATACCATGTCTAAAGGTCCATTCATCATCATTTGGTCAATCTCAGTCTCTTTTCGGGTCTGACACTGGCTTGAACATGGGCCTCCAGGCCGATTTTGGCAAAAAATGCGGTTTAGCGGTCAAATGCCGAAAAATTCGCATGGTTCACCAATATCGGCCTTCAGACCCATAGACATTTTGATAGGCCAGTATTACACCCAAAAAAAGACGAAAAACGACCAAATTATAATGCATTCCGTAAAACATATATATAGATCTCCAATGAGCATAAAATCGTGGCGTTAAAGAAATTCGGATAGGGTGGGCCAAAAAAACGTTCCTAATCGATTCCCCTCCTTTCCTGGGATTTTAAAGTTTTCTGCCATCCTGAATTCTAATACCATAGCCGCTCATGATTCAATTCGACCACAAACTCGATTTCGACTGCGGACCATTCTGAAGTTTGTGCCCTAGATCCGATCACCTATGCTTTTAAGTATTATACGTATAACTGAGTTAAATAAAATGAAAATAAAAATACAGCGTATTTGCCCGATTCAACGATAAAATAAAAAAAAGAAAACAATGGGCGCAAATAGGCTAAAATGTGGTAAAAATACAGTCAGGATGTTTTGAGCCAATTTGCCCATTCTTGGATGGAAAAAAGCTAAAAATTAAAACAAGAAAATGGGAATGCGACTGACCGAGGTAGGAATCAGTTTGTACTGATTGCACGGATTCCAACCTTGATCAGCTGCATGCTAATTTTTTTCTTTTTTTAATATTTAGCTGTTTATTTCCAGATGAGAGTGAGCATGTAATTGGCCTGAAACATCCTGCTTGCCTGTGTTTTTACCATATTTTAGTCAAGTGTCCTTTATCATAACATTAAAAAAAATGATCACCTACGGAAACAGTTTCCTATTTAAAATTCACAAGGCCTTGAGTTAAAAGCTTAGATTTTGCATCATAAGAATGAAATCAAAGCTAGCAACGTTTTTTTCTAAATTAAAAACCATTATTTTCCCTATTTTTGTCAACTTTACGATCTGTAGAAACAATTTGAATTTGTTAACCAAATACAATATGAGAGTCTGAAAAAGACTTGTACAAGCCATTATCATTGCATATCCTCGATGAATTGCAATTTTAACAAGCTTGTTATGAATTCTGGACTGTTAGAAACTGCGCTATTTTTAACCTATTAGTCTATGAATGAAAATCAACTTCTCAGCAGAAACAAACTCTTCATTTCATGATGCCCATTTTTCTTCTTAATTTGTTGTTTTTCTACGCGTCGGCCCTTGGAAGTTATGTAAATACGCATTTGGAGGTGGTAAACGGAGGACGTCTTGAAAATATGTCAATATGAGGCTAGGCGGAGTCGGCATGGCCGGCGCCTCCGCCAAGGGTGACTTGCAAATAATTGCGGTAAATATCCCGATCGGTAGTTAGTCAAATTTTTGGCCGTTTTCTTCGATTCGTCCTTGACATTTTCGATGAGGATCGGCACTTTTTCGCCAACCGTCCATCTTCCTCGCGTATAAAAAGAACCTCCGCTCAGAGCAGACCATCAAATCTTCTGTCACTTTCGTGTTCAGTGCTTCAACAATCCTCAAAACACAATCACCATGTTCAAGCTGGTAAGTCAAAACATTCCTTTTGCCTGAATTTTCAGTCAAACACAATAGCAAATCACGCAAGATAGTAGTTTTTTATTTTGATTCATCACAAATAATTTATTCGAGACAGGCTTTATAGGCGTGTTTTTCTGTACAAAATTCAAATGAACAAGAACATATGGACCACATTAAGCAGAAAAAGGAACCAAGCCACAACAGCTATTGTCAAATTTAATTCGACATTTTAATTGTTTACATGAAAACGGTTGTGTGGGTTTTGTTTCAAATTTCAGTGAGTTGTTTTCATAGTGCGAAGTAAATTCCTTAAAAATTTAAAAAAAAAAATCCGCACGAACGTTCTCTTTTAAAAGATTGAATTGCTCAGTTAAATTTGGCAATTGCTGATGTGGCTTGGTTTCTTTCTGCAGTCCAATATGCTATTTTCTTATAATCGGTTATATGTGTGTACCAAAGTTTTATTAAAACACCTCTACATGAGTGCTTCAATTTACTGACTCTCCGTGCTAAAATCCCCTCTTCCAGGAGCATAGTCGCGTATTATCGACGTCGCAAAGTGCATGTCTTCATTACAAAGTTTCAAAATATACGAACATATTTTTTTAATATTTTCAAAAGAAAATTGTCTTAAATATTTCTTTGAAATTTGTAACTATGTTTCACTTAAATTAAAGTATTCACATAAATATTTTAAAAAAAAACTGTTGGCTCGTCTCTTTTGACTAAAAAATATAAAACAGCGAAAGTCGAAAAATGCATGCCTTTATTAAATGGTCGCAATCTCAGATCATATTTTGGCTTCTTGAAAGAATAGGTATTACCCAAACGATCTCCTTTATGTTTTTTAGGAATGAGCACAATGAATTTCAAAAAAATTAGACTGCAATTTGCGACAAAGGAGCACTATTTCATAGTATTTGTATAAGCACTAATCTGTATAGGGAAACCAAAGGCAAATTCATTGTTTCTGAAATTGGCATGAAATGAAGGCGGCTCACCTCAAAATGTATTACAATTTTTGGTTGGTTTCCTTTGAAAAAAAATAGAATATCAGTGTAGATTTCCGACGTCATGAGCAGATGCATGGATTATTCGGCTTAAGCCAAGGATTGCACTTGAACCTTAAAGGTTCCGCGAAAACTGGAAACTTGGTAGAAAATCCACTAGAGTGTGTAACGGAGCCTGGAAATTGAGGGAGAATCGTTTGGATAAAAGCCCGCGCGGGGAACAATTTGTCTCTATCTCTTGTATAAATTTACTCGACATTGTTCGGGCGCAATTTGATTAAAGCGGCCGCCCGGTTATTTTGAGCCACCGCTCAACTCGCCTACCGGACCGGAGGCTTCGTGGATTTTCCGCCAATATTTTCAAATTAATTCAACGACCTCACTTATTGCAACGCCACCAAACGCGGACTCGCTAATCCCCTCGAGGCCTGCAACAAAATGATTATTGCCGATATTACCACCCTTGCCAGCTTCTGCTCCAAAACTCGATGCAGTTCCGGTCTCAACTTGTCTGCAAAGATATAAAAACTTCGCTTGCAACTTCGATTGTATCCTCAGACTCAACTTCAGTTTCTACGCTTTCTGTCCATGCAACAGAAGGTTCATTTCAGGGGCTTGAAAAACCAGGTTAATAAGTGCAGATTTTGCTATTTTAAGAAATACGCGTTTGAAAAGATTTAGTATTACATAAAGCCTAAAGGTGAAATACAAGTTCAAACTCACTTTTTGATGCTTAAAAACTAGATTTTAATAGTGAATTTTTCACATAATGTTATTTCGCAATAGCTTTGGTTGGAATCATTCATTTCTCATTTGTTCTAAAAACTGCACTTGACCCACTTGTCTTCCAAGCCCCTCATTTTAAGATATAACAAGATGGTAAAATATCGCCGTATCCACACTAGTTTGCGGAAAAGAAGCCAGGCAGATAAATTCAAAAATGTCAATTGAAGTCAAAAAGTTGAGTTCTAATGAATATCAGCACCAGAATGAAAACTCAAATTTTCGACTCTAATTGATATTTTTTGCTCACTGGCCTTGCTTTTCCCGCAAAATAGTGAGGACCGAAGACTACTTTACCACCTCGTTTCGTGGATTGCGTTAAGCAGAAAGGAACCAAGAAGCTATCTACCGATTGCCACATTTAACCGGGCGATTTAATTTTTTACATGAAAACGATTGTGTGGATTTCTGTGCAAATTTCAGTGAATTTTCTGCATATTTCGAGGCAAATTCCTTAAACTCTTCAAAAAAAATCCGCCTAAACATTCGCCTGTAAAAAATTCAGTTGCTAGGTTAAATTTGGCGATAGCTGTTGTGGCTTGGTCGTGGTGCACATACGGTTCGGGGCAGATTTTGTAGTGTTTTTTCTAGTAATTCAAAGATGTTGATATGAATTTCCTCGTGTTGCAGTTGGCTGTCCTTTGCTCCCTTCTGGTTGCGGCTTTTGCTGCTTACATTCCGGCCGCCCCGGCCTACTACGGCGCCTACCCTTACGCCGCCCCCGTGGCTCCGGTCGCCTACCGCTACCCGGCGCCCGTCTACCATGCCCCCATCGCCGCCCCCGCCTACGTACCCCCAGTCCGCTACGCCCCCTACCCCGCCGTCCCAGCCGTCAGCTACGTGGCCCACAAGTGTAAGTATTTATTTCATAATTCGGATGCAATCCTTCATTAGAAATGAAGAGTGCTCACTCAAATAGAGTACCTGTACTCCTGTCCTAAGAAAGAACGCTATATGATGTTGCAAAGTTTCCTCTCTTTAAATACCAATTTTCAGGGAAATCTATGAATATTTTTCCTCAAACTTTTCAGGAAATTCTATTCGCAATTGGATCTAAATTATCCTAAAATTTCAAGAGAAAATATTCATAACTCTCCTCAAAGATAAGCATATTACTGGAGGAAATGTGGCAACTCTCGAATGTACATACGGCGTTTTTCCTTAGCACGACAGTATAAAGAGGAGAATGTGGGCACGTCGGTAATTTTGGAGGCTGGATCATGGAGCTCTTAAGGCCCGAAAAGGAAGCCAACCCAAGGAGAGCATCTGGTAAAAATAACTATGAACAGCGCAATTACAGAGAATTTCCTGTTCATTTTTGTTGAGGATGAGTGAGAACAGAATTTATATCTTCCACATGAACTCAAGTAAAAGTTAGCTGTGAAGCTAAGTGCCACTACTCCTGGTAGATCGCCTTCTAACAACCATTTTGGATTGAAACATAAAAGAAAAGACCTCATCTAAAATATTTGGCTTGGAGGAAATTTATTGGATAAATTTTTCAGTAATGTATCTTCACAACCCATTTTTGTTTCAGGAATTGATACACTCTAATGAACCAACGCTGGCTGCCTTTATGTTTCATGTCATCACACCCTAGTTACCATGGTCTCAGCTTTTGAAGACCATCATAAAATAATTCATCTTTCGCGCCAATATCCAATTTGTAAAAATTCATAATGCATCAAATACATTTTCATCTCCTGACCAAATCATTTGTTAGTTGCGTTCTTTGTATCGAAATGGATTGAAAACATTGAAAGCACCTTGAAATAATAACAAACCTAAACATACAGTTTAAGTGAGTACTTAATAGAATGAAAATTACACGTTTCGAAGCTTATACAATGATGAGCTCTTCAGCTCACTGATCGTTTTTCTCTCCCTCTCCTCAGCAGCGAGTCGATTGTTGAATCGTTATCGAATGACCTTGATCGATATATTGCATTGTGAAGATAGGGAGTTATCGATTAAACTAATTCGATAACGATTCAACAATCGAGGCGCAGTGGCTTGACGTGCTTTGCGATGTATCGATTGATCTGTCATTTAAACCCATAAAAAAGAATCGATTAACAGGGTGTTTGGGATGAACACCTTAATAATCGATTCTTTATGATACCTGCAAATAGGGAAATATAGATAGTCGATCATTCACACCTTGACATTGCTCCTCGGGAGGCATGAGACTTCAATTTAATAAATTCTAGGGGTCCAACTTTGAATCATGATACTCGGAAAAGGTGAAATCGGGCTTGTAAAAAACGAAAACTTCGTAATAATATTAAAGTTTATTCGAAAAATCTTGAAAACAGTATAATGCATTAAACTTATTATAAATTCAGTCTTATATCTTGAATGCTCATTATGAGCTATTAGTCATTGTGATCGACACGCAAGATTCATGAAAATTCAATTATTAAACTAGCATTTTTCGATAGGGCTTTGCCTGATCAATCTAGGTCCAAAAATTCGACGTATTTCTATCAAACGGAACTATGTGCATTAAGACATGAGCTCTGAGACGCATAAGAATACATGTTTAACAGGGCTCACGTCATAATACACGTAGTTCCGTTTGGCATAAATACGTCCAATTGAATTGTGAAACTAAGTTGCACAAATTGTTTATCTGAATCTTTGCAACTTATTTGCCTGAATAAAATCGCTGAGAGTAGATAAGTTTTCCGTTCTTTTTTAAACAAACTTTCTAAATGTCTAGTGATTATTTATACTTTTGTAGGAGCGAATCAGATGTAACGCTTTAACGTCACCGCTTTCAAACATCTATGCATGAAGGGGTGAACAGAAACTTTCATTATTTCGCATCAACGAAATTACATTTTTTAACTGAGCGTGTGACATAGTTTTACTTAATTTTAAATTTGATTTTACAGTTCTCAGCATCCCTTAAAGCAGTGGTGCTTTTCGGGTCAAAAAATTAATCTTATAAAATAATTTTATATACAATATTTTCTTGTTACATTTGTTTTAAAGTTGGTAAATACTTAAGAGGAAGCGTTTCTGCGCAACGATGCGTAGATACTGTTTACCTTCCTGTCAAAGCTGAAACAAATTCTAAGATACTCCCTCATAGGAGCAAACTTTCAAAAGGAATACACCTATGAGGAGTTTAAACTTGAAAGCAAATTTTAAAAAAAAATGATTGCCATTTTGCAAATTCTTATAAGGAAGGTTGGTAGCAAAAACAGATAATTGGACTATTTTGCGATTAGGAACTGCTATCTCTGGCTCATCTGTGAAAGCGTCTACCTACATGCACAAAGAGACTAATGGCACATACCGTCGCAAAGTAGATGGAGTCATTTAAAGAGGTCGGACATGACGTTTTTGACTGAAACCGCAAATTTCGATGTTTATTTCGTCACATTTTAAATTTCAAGGGGTGTTGCTAGAAGAAAATTTTACGAGGAAACCAATAGAACCACTTTTAGAACCTCAAAGCTTTGTATAAACGGAGTTATAAGCGTTTAAAGTTTCCAAATTTTATCCGACCTCTCCTATTGATTCAATCCACTGTGCGTCGTTCCTCTGACGCAAGGGCGTGTCCCTATTTCCATTTGAGCCCTGTTCTCCGTACAACTCTATGTTCTCCGTGGCTCAGGTGGAAATAAAGATACGCCCTAAAGTCGGAGGATCCACGATTCGTTATTTCTGAAACAAGGTATACGGTAACAGCAGTTCCTAATTGCAAAATGTGGTCCAATCACTGCAAAAGGTTATCAACAATCATATCCAACGGTGCCACTGCACCTATTACTTCTGCTTCTTAAGAGTCTCCATAGATCCCAGTGTGTGTGATGAGTCACTAAGCCATAAACGAATTTCGACTTGCGAATACTCTTATTTGACTAATTTATTAATGACGCTTCAAACACGACGCGCGAATTAAAAACGCGAAAAAGTATTTCAGAAACCGAGAATTACGCGGTTGAAAAAGCGGAACTGTACCGCAACTTTAAAACGCCTCAGTTTCGCGCCTAACCGAGTGATACTATCAGAAGCGAGCGCGGGTTTTTATGGCTTTCGTCGAATGCCATCCATTGACTCGTACATGAAAACAATACACAAGTCGAAACTATATCTTTTGAATAAAAAGTCCGAATCTTCCTCACGTTAACTGTAGGTAGAAATTCCACATCCAAGTACGTTTTATTTTGACAAAAATCACTGGAAAATGAGAGGAGATAGCGATTTGACTGCCACTGTAGGTACATCATTTCTATCATTTTCCGCCATTTCAGTGCGTTCGAAATTTCGTTGAGTCTTTGGACCATTGAAAAGCGGGCTTGTCCGGGATTTCGGCTCCAAAGATACGCAATAAATTACCACGGAATCTACTCAGCTAGTATTTTCAGAATATCAAATGAAAAACACAAGGTTTAGTGACCCATTTTCCATGAAGGAACTCCATTAGAGTCCTGTAGTCCCATCCCGACACTTTTTGAAGGAGTCAACATCCGTGATGAACCTCTCCAAGAGCCCATAGGCCCATTTTGGCTGGGTGGTTGGGACCATATGCCCGGTATTCCGCACCATAACCTCTGTGAACGTGCCAGCAGTCTTATAGTAGCCAGCCACGTCATTGCCGACGACCAACTTACACCTGTCAGCTTTGTAATAATCGTAAGCGTGGGACCACTCGAGAGAATCGTAGAAAGCGAGGCTCAGCGGGTACGCAACGATGACGTCGAGCTGGCCGCTGTAGAACAAGATCGGGAACTCCTCGGCTTGGAGTAGTTCCTCCACCCACGGGCGCACCGATTGCATGACGTCATCCGAGAGATGCCACGCCGAACTATAACCGTCATTGAAGGTTAGGTTCCCCACGTGGATGGCTTTCCTGGTTTCTTCCTTTTCCATGAAAGTCCGGGTGTCGTCCATCCCCTTGAAAACGTCGTCGTTCACGAAATCGTACAAGTCGACGCCGCTAGCTTGCAGGAATTCGTTGTACACTTCGTCCACGGTATGATCCGCTTCCCGCCAATTTCCCGCCTGCAAGGGAGGAATTGTGTTTATGTGGGGGGTGCTTCAGGATTAAATAGACAATGAGAGAAACCTATGCTTAAAATGACCAAATTAGTGGTTTCTCAAATGGACAGTATTTTGAAATTCGGAACAACAATATCTGGCTCAGTTTAAAAACAGTGCACGCACTATTAGTTTCCTGATGATATAAGTATTTTATGGGTGAGCCAAAAATTGTGGATCCTAATTTCAAATTGTAGGCAAATGGACCATTGAATAATAGTAGCCAGAACACAATTGGACTGCATTTTGTAATTTGGAACTACAATTTTGGCTCAGTTTCAAAGCAACGTACGCATCATTAGTTTATTCCCTATGTTCATAAGTGTTTTATGACTGAGCTAGAAATTGTAGTTTTTAATTGCAAAATGAAGTTTGTAATATTTTTTCCATTAAGTGATGACATCATCACCAAGTTGGTAATTTTACCACTACGATAGTAAATTTGGACTGCGCTTTGCAATATGGGACAAACATTTCTGGCTCAGTCTAAGAGCAACATATATGTATCATTAGTTTCCCTGTGCAAACGAGTGTTTTTACGGATGGCAAGAAATTGTAGTTCCTGATTCCAAAATGTTGTCCAATTGTTTCCTGGTGGTAAAAATACTACCATCTTTGCTTATGGCTGATCTTAATCAGCATATCTTTTGGATCATGATTAACTTGGTCATAAATCAGAATTTTTGCTCAGTGCACCGGAGAAAAAGAGTGGTTACAGTAATAAATATGTTTGTCTGTGCGCCCGTCCACATGAAGAAGGACATTTGTCCACAAAACTATACAGCTTTCCCACATTTATCGTCTATTAAAAAGTTTATCCTTTAAAATTTACACTTTTCAACATGTTTACTCCTCAGCCAAATAAAGTCTTGAAGGGTGCTGAGTCTACTTCTTGTTATTTTAATTCACCGAGATTAAACTCTGTATACAATTAAAAAAATAAATAATGTGCCCCCAGAATCTCGGAAAAAATATTCTGAAATCATTCTCGGAAATTTTCTATACATATTATTCCTTATTGCTACTGGGTCAATTTCACACGGCCAGACGAGACACTTATTAGTTAGTATTGAACGGTAAATACTAATGCTGGGAATATGTAGACGGATTGCGAAATGTTGAGAAAAATAATTGAATGTATGATTCTTACAGCTTTATCAGCTTATAAACAAAACAAGTATCAAGATTAACTGTTGATCGATTGGAATAACAAAGAAGGAAGGTATCTGCTTTCATTTTTATCAATTGTTCCGAATATTACTAAAGAGCGATCGTCTTAATTTCCACTCAATAATCCGTTCTGCTGAGCCACTTATAATTATATGAAACTCTGTGACAATTTCTCAATATTTTTATTAAATTTTGGATCACGGAAAAAGGAAAATACTAGACATTTTTTGGCCTTGTAGGAGCTTAGGAAAAAAAACTCCTGACTTTTACCTAACTTTCTGAACAATCCTAAAAATACTAGACGTTTCCCGGAGTCATTCCAAATAGAAATGTCCGAACTTTCCATTGATTTACGACCCACTATGAACCTATTAAGTACTGTCAACACTTTCCCATATTTTCTCATACATTTTAGATTTTTCATTTTTAACTCTTTAGTCTCACTCAAATCCAGTCCATTCTTCAACTTTCAGTTTTATCCTTAAACAATCTTCAGTAATGTCCCATAAAATTAATGACTAGACTTGCAACTGATACCTACATAGATTATAGCCAACCAATCACGCGTAGGCTTGTTGTCTCACCACCGGTGACGTCAACAAGACTATATAAGCGTGGGTTGCCTAAAAATCGAGGTCTTATTTTTCCATCTTTTGACCTGTGACTTACGTCCCTCGCTTTACGGTCTTTTTCCCATCTTGTAGACCCTAGACCTGTACACTTCTCTACGGTCTGAGTGATTCCCAGTACTCTAACACATTGTGTCAATCTCTTTAACTTTACAGTGCATTTTGTGTAATTTCTGACATTCAACTTTTTGTGAAACAGTGAACTCTTTGAAAAGTTTTTCAATACAAATCATTCCTGGAACTCTCGTGTTTTCCTTCAACACCTATCTATCATCAGTTTGTTGGTTAAACTATAAAATCAACTGGTGCCGAATATTCAACCTTTTTATTAAGAACAATTAAGTATCGAGATCTCAAACCATAGTCGTTATATGGTGCCTTCCTCTAACCTGATGCAAATCCTCTGACATGGTGCCGCGAAACCATATAATCCTCTGACAAGTACTTACTCCGGACGCTGCTGGTAGTGCTGGTATTGTTCGGAATTCCTCAATTTTATTTACCTTTGATGCGAAAATTCAGACTCTTTTTACTGGCTTTCGGACTTTTTAAGAAAATTCCTAAATTTTCCTAAATACCTGGACTCAATCCAGATTTTCCGGAGATCGGAGGACAATTTTTTAACTTATTCCATTCGCTTACGGACGTATTCTAAGCCTGTTGTTGACTCACTACGGACATTAATGTTATTTTCCGGAATTTCTTAATTTTTTGGATATATAAGGCAAATTTTAAGATTTATTTCTGATTTTCGAACTTATCATGAAAATTCCTAAAAATGTATGACCCTACTGAGGACTTATTGTGGGCATTACTAGCATTTTCCGGAATTTCTCGATTTTTTTGACTTATGAGGTGAATTTTCAGACTTCATTTTTCGAATTTTGGACTTTTATAGAAGAGTCGTAAGAGCACTGGAGCCTTTTTTCTGACTTTTGAACCTATCGTAAAAACACGTGACATTTTTCAGACTCGTCAGTCCCACGTGAGGACCCGATAAAAGAGAATAAATGAAAATTGAATATTACTCTGAGTAAAGCCCGAGCGAACTCCTCCTTTTCCTCCATGCGGCTTTTGGTTCTTCGATCGATGAGTCCGAGTTTATAGAGATATGCACCATAACTGAGCTGATTGATAGGATCGGTCCAGGCGTTGCCCAGCATGAGACCACCCACGTGGATCTTAAAATCGGAGACTTTGTTCTCCCGGTAGATCTTGTAGCCGATGGCCGGGATGTACTTCCCGGCGTATGACTCGCCCGTCACGAAGAGCTCCTTCTTCTGCAGATTCGGGAAGAGCTTGAAAAGTTGCACCAAAGCGCAGTAGAGATCTCTCGCCACCTCCATCTCGTTGTTCGGGTATGCCGCATCCGACTCCGTGAAGCTGAAACCGGTTCCCACGGGGTTGTCGATGACGACCAGGTTGAATTTCCGGTTCCATGGGTACTTACCTGCATTCAAGGATTTTATGAAAAATACATTCTCCGAGGGTTTCCGTGAAATATTTGATTAGGAATATAAAAAATTGGTATTGATGATCCTACACCGAGGTAAAATAATGAGAATACGTTAAACAGGAAGGTACCAAGCCACATTGGCTAGTGCCGAATTCAATTAGGCACTTTAATTTTTTACAAGAGAACGTTTGTGTGGAACGTTGAAAATTTCAGGGAATTTGCTTTGTGCTACGCAGAAAATTGCACAAAAATCCGCACAATTGTTTTCATGTATGAAATTAAATTGCCCAATTCAATTTGGCAATAGCTGATGTGTCTTGGTTCCTTTCTGCTTAACGAGATCCAATTTTTGTTCTCACAATGCTTGCCGTAGATTTCAGGTCCCACCTACTTTTCTGATGGTCGTTACAATGTTTCCTTTGTGCAGTAACACTTTTTGGGGTCTCAGTAGCAATGCTGCATAGCTACCGGTATACCGAAACAAGTATGAGGGTATATTGTAACTGTGACCGGAGAAGTAGGTTAGACCCTCAATCTACTACAAGCATCGTAGAGGCAACGATCCTCCCCCCCCCCCCCCCNCATTGCGGATTTACTAATGTCAGTTGAAGTTATATGTGAAGGATCTACAGGATCAGAGTGATATCTTTATAGGATTAATTACTTTTTGCAAAAAATGAATTTTCGAGAAATCTCGAGTAAGATAGCCCTATGCTTCGCGCAAATATAGAATGACAAAATGTGTTTGATCAAGACTCCTACCTATGAATGACTACCGACCTGACTACCTATGAATTTTTTTTAGAAGAATAAACCTTTTTCTAGAGAAGCCGTGTTATTTTAATAATCAGTTTTTTTTTTAAAATCTAGGACAAGCAGGAATGCTCTAAGTTCGTATTAATGAAGCGCTCGGCTGTTCTCTATGTAGGCGCGTTTTTAGGATTCCAAAAAAAAAAAAAATGAGCACCGTTGAGATGAAAGAACTCGCTCACCAAAATTTCAATTATCAATTTTGAGAAAATTTCACTATATTATAGGACTCTGTGCTTTGACATTAGAATCATTAAATAAAATTATCACAGATTTATCTATTTTAAATATGTTAAGCCCCTCACCGCAATCTTGTTGTTGAGCTGGTGCGTCATTTGAACGCATTGCCATTTTTATATCTGAATTCAAGAGGGAGGTTGAAATCAAAAAGCGCTGAGCCCTTAATAGACCCTTAAGACACCCGCCCTATCATATTCTCTAGTTGAATGTCATTTTTCGACGCAAGTACTCACGTCGTTTCACTTTTAAGCCGGTGGCAACGAAGAAAGGGCCGATCTCAGCGACGAGCCCAAACATGGAGCTGGCGCCTGGGCCACCTTGGAGCCACACGACAAGGGGCTTGTCCTCCCAGTTACCTTGCTGGCTCTTGAACAACCAGAAGAAGATGTTGGAGTTGGCGCTTTTGTTGACGGTTAAAAAGCCGGAGTAACTGTGGACGTTCTTCAGGAGGGGCGGGACAGTGGCCAATTTTTGGGCCTTTTCGATTTGACCGTTTTCGATGTAAGGTGTCAGGAAAAGCGCGTCGTCTTTGCTTAGATTCGTCGGCGCAGCTTCGCTTTTGTGGCCGCGGTCGTAGTTGTCCATGATTCTGGGGAAAGAGGCCACTCCGGAAAATAAAACCGCGAGTGAGAGGTGTATCGTTAACATGTTTCAGTTTTGAGTTTTCAGTCAATTCAATAAACCAAAAATGTTTTTGAAGACCTTGATAACGATTTCAAGATAAAAATTAAAAATTGAATTTTGTTTCCGAATGAACAATGGAGTATTTTCTTAACTTATACCTACTACACAATGTAACAGGGATCACAAAAAAAAAAATTGTATAAATATTTTTCAATGTCCAGGTTTTGATGATATCACTGATGCAGAATGAAGTAAATGGATGTGCAAAATAGATTTTAAACAGGCTATCCAAGATAATCTTACAAAGAAAAATCTGTTTGCGAATATGTGGAAAAATATTCACAAAAATCAGAAAGATCCTAGCAATCCTTCATTACTCACATACGTCATACTTTTAAAAGAAATACTACGTCAAAATTTTACAAACATCTTCATCAATTTGAATTCATGTATGTAGAAAAACAAGTAAAAAAAAAATAAACTTGAAAAAAATATAATGCATAAATTTCTTGCAAATACTTTTAAAATATGTTTTAAATCACAAAGAGGATGATGTACACAATGATTTTCACTCGAGAAAAGTCGAGATGAATCAAGTTCCGTCAATTCAAAACCGATTTGTGAACTTCTTTCTTAGCTATGTTTACTTTAATGGCGTTTTTTTTCACTTCACGTTGCCACTATTGTTTATTTTGTCGTATTTTAGAGGGAATTGCTAACATTTCGCCACTTTTACAGGCGAGAGAACGGACACGACTAAAAATGTGAAGTTAAATCGGACATGGTGTTAGCGGATATAATCCAATTGACACTCTAATCTGTCATCAAACATACTTGAAGTAGATAGTGCTAGGTACAGAAAAAACAGAAAAAAAAAAAAAAAATTATTGAGCGAAAATTAGAAAGAAGATGAGTGGAACGATCAAGGTACCATAGGTACCTCGATGGTGGTGAATTTGGACTTGCAAATCGCATAGAATTTTTTTCTAAAAGCTGAACGTTACTAACAGTATTTTTTCTAACATTGACGTAATGCACATTTAACGCATGCGTAATAGATATCGCTGGTGAAGTTGCAAAACACGCCTCTCGGTTGAGGTAATTCAAAATCTCCCCTTCTATTTTATTTTTTAAAAAGAGACCAAAACAACTTCATGGCTTGATATTTCCATGGATTATTCTTCACATCGAGAGGGAAAATCTCCAATGTTTTCAAGAAATGTCGTTCAGTGGTTTTCCATCTAAAAAAAAAAAAACATTACAAATCTGCAACGCAGCAAACCGATAAACGCATGTCTGCAGTTTCATCATCGATTTGTAACCTAAACGCAACGATAAATACAATTAATATATTCAGTTTAACTTACGATTAGACCGTATCTAATTTACGACATGTGTCCTGGAGTTTTTTTTTGTTTTTCTTCTTTCTTTTTTTGGCTCATGACTCATTGATAAATTAACCACGTTCATGCTTTGAATCAGCAAGCAGAAACATATTGATACTCATCACTAACATGACTATAAACATTATTTTGACATTTATCGTGTTTCTTGCAATAGCAATAAAATGCGTTGATGACCAGAAACTAATCATTTTCCACAAAAAAAAATTATTGTTGTATGAGGAAAATACATGAAGATGGGTGCAACATGTTTTGTGATGGTGATTAAATTCATTCTTGATCGTTTAGACCTTGGTCTAAAAATGTAATGAATTTTTTTTTCCTCCTTTCATACAAATTCCTCTTGCCTAAACCAAAAAAAAAATAATTGCTCCCATAAGGCAACTGTTTTTCCAGGGGAAGAAAACAAACGGTTGTGAAATATTCTGCACATGATGGCAAATATTCTGCTTGTTTTGGTAAGTCATTTGTTTTCTTGTCTGTGAATGAAAGTCAAAGACAACTCAGCACTAGAGAGAGTTACTGTGAAATACATATATTACATCGGCTCAGCCGCAAATGAAATGAATCAAGCTTCGCACCTTGATTTTTGACTGAAATTTTCAGTACTTGGTGGCGTTTTAATTTTCTATTGGCGTTGTCAGAAAATGACACAATTTCTGCGGGGCGCGCGATCAAAAAAAAGGAGGAGTGTCAGCCGACTTTACAAGTCGCAAATACCGATTTTTCGTCTCCTCTTTACACTTCAAATTTAAAGTCAGTTTAAAGCGAGAGTTCTGCTAGTCAATGAAAATCTAATGGCATTTTAGACTATTTTAAAGAAGTCGGTCATGGCATACCGTTCTTGTGTGTTTCAACACACAATGTGTGTTGAATCACACTTGGTGATTCTTGTGTTTTCAATTTGATCTTATCCGCTACGCGGTGTTAAAACGGAATTATTTTTCGCACTCGTGTGAAGGTTTTGGATGGTCGTGCACTGGCCTGGGATATCCGGTTCCTTGACTCAAAATGTTCGGTCACTCGGCCCGGAATATCCGGAGATTCAACCCGGAATTCATTCTCAATAGACCCGGAAAAGACGATCACCGCGGACTAGAAACCCGGATGCAACGAACATTTTCGTGACAAGTTTGGCTCCGATTTTGGATAAGACGGCCCAGGGCCCACACTATGGAGATCACTCTAGATGGATTCATTTTACTCTTAAAACTATTCAATACTTTAACGAGCAGTGATTTCAGGGTGAACGGCTTTTCAAGTCGGAGATTCTGTGGTGACTAGAGGTAACACTAAATTCATTTTTTTTTTTGGAAACGCATCAGTTGTTGAACCCAGACGGTACTTGAGACGATTGATACCAGTGCTTGAGATTGATAAGGGAATTAACTTTTTTGTGGCCGAAAAAAAGTGATTTCGTTTTTTCACTTTTATTTTTGCATAAGGTCCTACTTCCAGGAAGAGCGAGAGAGTAACCATGTGCTGACAAATATCATTTGAACTTTTTTTCTCCAATTTTACTCTTTTATACGTATTTTATAGAGGAAATACCTAAAACTTGAACCACACCATTGGATACAGAACTATCTACATTCGAGCTTTTTAAAATAAATCTGCCTACTTCAGGGATGGATATGACCCGAATTTAGTCGTATAAGGGTCTGGGCAGATGTTACCCTGATTGGAATGGAGATTAGCTATGCAATGTGTTTTAGCGATAACTATTTATTTAGGAGAGTAAACCTCTTTACAGAAGGGTTATAATCACCTGAAAGGCTCTGGAGGTATTGGGCTCATGAGCGGTTTTTGCAAATGTGATACAATAGCTAGAAATTATGTTGCAACAAAATTTGTAACTTTTGCATCACCCTCTTGGTCTTTGCTGCTGTGCTTCTGAAGCAGGGTGAATTGCAGCGAAATAAGAATATGAAAGATTTGAAATTCCAGTGAAATATTTCATACTTTCCAGGGGGTAGAGTATGCAACTCGTACTAAAAAACGCAGATTAATTAAAAAAAGGAACGATTTTAGCAATCGTGACACAAGCGAACAGACAACATAAAATAACCACATCGCTAGCCGAAGTGTGAAAGCACGTATCAGTATTGGAGTGTTTCAAAATTTCTGCTCCTTTTTTAATTTTTCTCAGAGTAACAATAAACCAACTTTATAACTTGAAATGTGTGCAGAATATTCTGGTAGTAGAGGAGAAGTCTGCATCATTGCAAACGTAGATACGTGGTTTCACATTTCAGTTATCGATATACAGAAGATTACTATCGAATTTTAACATTTCTTCAATGTTAGAGTTGAAAATCTATAATCGCAACTCATTATTTAATACATTTCATACATTGCTAGTATTTCATGAAATATTTCGCACAGCAAATTTCATGATTTTTCAATGATTTTTCGCCCTGCCTTGGAGCTTTCAGACCTCTTCCGACTCTGGATGGATCCATATCTACCGTTTCGTTTCATCTCTGACGTTAGAACGGACATACTTTTCATCAACAAGTAGACATGCCTTCATGTCAGAGGAACGACAAAATGGTAGAAAAGACTATTCCGCCTTCCTCAGGAAGATTGCTGTATGAGCGTTCAGCCAAAATTTGGCAACAGCTAAAGGCTCATGCAGAAATCTTCCTTCCAACAATAGATAAATTTTCAGCAGAATTTTTAAACATTTTCTTTCGAATTTATTGAAGGATTTCATTTATATTTGATCTAAATTACCTGCGAATTTCAAGAGGATATATTCACAAGACTCATCAAAAATTAAAAAATTATCAAAGGAAATGGGACGACTAGCAAATGTTCATACGGCGTTCTTTCTCATACCTACTTCACAAGCCGAAAATAGGAGCCGAAAATGGAGATCATCGACGCATCGATGTATGTATGTTGCCACGAGATTTTCGCGATTTTGCGCGGTACGCACAATTTTCAGCAACCTATGATGAGTTGGTACTCAAAAATTTTCAGTTTGTGTGAACTGTTCCGATAATTTGAGTGCAAATTTGGATAAAAAAATATTGAAATTTACGAAAAGACGACTGTCGGGCAACTACCACGTAACTTCGCGTTCAGCTCCCATTTGCGACATGTAAAGTGTGCTTTAGCACGACAGTATTGAACTGTATCTTTTCTCCAAACGTCTAATGCAGATAGTTCCGCACTTCTGAATGACGCCCAATTTAGTTACACTGTAGTCACCGGGAGAAAATTGGTGGTGACAGTTTGAGGACACACTTGACAAATTAGGATGTCAATTCGAGATAAAGTGAAATTGATCCAACCAAAAGTTACATGAAAAAAAAAGTCCAGACAATGTAAGTGTGAATGCCTGATAAAATATTTTGAGAGGTAGAGACGAGTGGTGTGCAAACTGAAGGAGTTTCTAACATCATTTTGGCATTGCTTTATCAGAATCGCTTTAATTCCACTATCGCGACACTGCGAAGAGATCCAAAAATTCACGAACCAAAGAAAAAGAGATAAGTGAGCTAAATTGAAAATTAATCGGAAATATATGAAGTTCAAAAAGGCGATTTACATCTCAAAATATCATCGGTGGATCAAGATACTTTGAACAAGGGGGGGGGGAGAGGAAAGGGGAAAGGGTCCGCCGGAGAATTTTCGAAATTTTAGAGCATGTAGCATGCAGTGTGAGTTTATTTTGTCATGAATAATTACCGAATATAAACGTCCTTCCTTCTTCTTACCTCCATTCCTTCCTTTTCCCTATCTTCCCATTTTCTTCTTTCCCTTTGTCGAGCGAATATCCCGACGCCCCCCCCTCCCCCCCCCCTTGGATCCACTTGTGCAAAATATTACGTGTAAGTTTTTTCATTTGACAATTGAAATTTTTGTGATGTGTCCTCTTTATCTAATCTTCAAAAATGGGTCCATTTTATTTTAATAGAAGTTTGACTTGACAGCATTTCTTACATATTGTCATAAGAACAAAAATTTAAGGTTATCCTAAATTGAGATCATCTGAACCATCATCTGTATTTGACGAGTAAGCAGAGAAGCTTTACATCTGATCCCGC